TCATGCCTGCTATATGCGCGTGCCTGCGCTATGCTCCAGGTTATGATCGTTGCTTCCATTCTCCTCTTCTTCCAATCAACTGCCATTTATGCACACCGTCCTTTGCCCCTTGGCATTTATGCACATTGTCCAATTATCCAGTATTCTGGATCCCCCATGCTTTATGCCCCCCATTTCGCCCCTGCACGCCCCCCTCTTTCTCCCTTCCTCCCCACCCACCCGTTGCTTTTTTCCGTGCCTGGGTTTTGTTTCTAGCCTGCCTGACCTAGCGTCATAAAAACTGTTGGATGCGTCATTGGTAACTCCGCTACAAACCATGGCATGGCATGGCATAATGATGTTGTGACCACATGGCTTGGCTTACTGATGGTGTGTCCACATGGCATGGCATGTTGATGGTGTACCAACAGAGACCCTCAGCTTTAACATCAAAGTCGCGGGGTCCATTCCCCTTGAGATGGAGAGCCTTACCAAGCTCCGATTTCTGTGAGTGGGCCTCTGTTTCATTTCTCACCACCTTCCACTTGGACTCACCATTGACTGCCCGTGCAGTTCTCCTTAACTGTGAAGGTGCTGTTTCGTAATTGTGTTGTGTGTGCATATTTGCTGGTGTGTGTGTGCATGTGTGCGCATTTGCACATGTGTGGGTGGGTGTGTGTGTGTGTGCATTTATGCGTGCATGCGTGCGCATGTGCGCGTGTGTGGGTGTGTGTGTGGGTGTGTGCGTGTGCGTGCGTGCGGGGGTTGGTGGGTCGGTGGGTGGGTCGATGGGTGCGTGGGCGGATGGGTGCTTGCGTGTGTGGGGTGCGTGTGGGTGTGTGGTGTGTATGTGCGCAAGTGGGTGCGTTGGGTGCATTCTTCGTGCGCGTGCGTCTGTGCGTGTATGGGTGCATATGCCCGCGTCCGCGCATGGGTGTGTGTGTGTGTGTGTGCGTGCATGCGTGTATGTGTTTGTGTGTGTGTGTGTGTGTGCGTGCATGCGTGTATGTGTTTGTGTGTGTGTGTGTGTGTGTGTGTGCATGCCCGCGTGTGTGTGTGTGTGTGGTGCTGCACATGTGTGTGCAGATACCTCGGCTATATGAGTCTATCGGGCCCCTTCCCATCCTGGATCTCTGGTCGCACCAAGCTCAGAGTATTGTATGCTCTCTGACTTTCCATGCTCTCTGGCTCTCTATGCACTCTGGCTCTCCATGCTCTCTGGCTCTCCATGCTCTCTGGCTCTCCATGCTCTCTGGCTCTCCATGCTCTCTGGCTCTCTATGCTCTCTGGCTCTCCATGCTCTCTGGCTCTCCATGCTCTCTGGCTCTCTATGCTTTTGAGAATTCGCGGAAGTATGCTCTCTGGCTCTCTGTATTCTTTTTCAATCACCCCTGGTCATAGAGAACCAGACTTGCATTCTTTTTCCCTCCCAGCCCTGCCTCCCTATCCCCCCCTTTATTTTCTTGTTGAAGATAGGCTGCACAGTTGTTAGCTTCGTTGTTTGGATTCCAGCGTTCTTGTATGGAGTTAGTTTAGGCTGGTTAGCTGTCTGTATGTAAGTATCATCCTCAATTTATCCAACCTTATCCATCCAAAAATTCCTCGATGAATCGCCCTAGAACTTCCCCTCTATTCCCCTTATAACTCTAACCCCCCTTAATTAAGCAAATATGAACCATGTGGCCACCACTTATGTACTCCGCAAGAATCCTTTGGTGTTCATGTTTGATGCGGAGCAACTGTGCATATCAGAATCTGCATTCATTCGTATTGTGCATGTCATCGTGCATGTGTGGCTCGTTGCAAAGACGCTGCTCACAACAGCATCAATGGCAGCATACCAGAGTCCATTGGCAGCACCATCAACCTTCATGCCTTGTAGGGACCATCAGCCTTTTACTTTTGCAACCCATCCATCAACTTACTAGTTCTGTAACCCGTCAACCCTCAAGTTTTGCAGCAAATCAATTTTCATGTTTTGTAACCCGTCAAGACTCTAATTTTGTAACCCATCAACTTTTGATTCAAGGTTTGTGAACCATCGAACTCTAAGCATCGTAATTTCTCCGACTCCTCAGATCTTTGGCTCGTGGCAAGGCCATCACATGTCGTCATGCTATCCCATGTCCTTGCTATCGTACTATCACATGCCATGCATTCACATGCGCTCATGACATCACATGAACTCATGCCATGCACTCATGCCATCACATGCACTCATGCCATCACATGTCCCATGCTTGCACATGCCATGCCTTCACTTCACGTGCGCTCATGCCATCACATGCACTCATGCTATTACATGTGCTCATGAAATCGCATGTCTTCATGCCATCACATGTCCTCATACCATCACATCACATGCCATGCCTTCACGTGCGCTGATGCAATCTCATGTCCTCATGCCATAACATGCACTCATGCCATAACATGCACTCATGCCATAACATGCACTCATGCCATAACATGCACTCATGCCATAACGTGCACTCATGCCATAACATGCACTCATGCCATAACGTGCACTCATGCCATAACATGCACTCATGCCATAACATGCACTCATGCCATAACATGCACTCATGCCATAACATGCACTCATGCCATAACATGCACTCATGCCATAACATGCACTCATGCCATAACATGCACTCATGCCATAACATGCACTCATGCCATAACATGCACTCATGCCATAACATGCACTCATGCCATAACATGCACTCATGCCATAACATGCACTCATGCCATAACATGCACTCATGCCATAACATGCACTCATGCCATCACATGCACTCATGCCATCACATGCACTCATGCCATCACATGCACTCATGCCATCACATGCACTCATGCCATCACATGCACTCATGCCATAACATGCACTCATGCCATAACATGCACTCATGCCATAACATGCACTCATGCCATAACATGCACTCATGCCATAACATGCACTCATGCCATAACATGCACTCATGCCATAACATGCACTCATGCCATAACATGCACTCATGCCATAACATGCACTCATGCCATCACATGCACTCATGCCATCACATGCACTCATGCCATCACATGCACTCATGCCATCACATGCACTCATGCCATCACATGCACTCATGCCAGGCATGCCCATCATCCACTCCGCACTCCACCGCTCCCTATCCCTAGCGCTCCCTATCCCTAACGCTCCCTATCCCTAGCGCTCCCTATCCCTAGCGCTCCCTATCCCTAGCGCTCCCTATCCCTAACGCTCCCTATCCCTAGCGCTCCCTATCCCTAGCGCTCCCTATCCCTACTGCACCCCATCCCTGACTGCACCCCATCCCTCACTACTCCCTATCTCTACTGCACCTATCCCTATTTCTCCCTATCCCTCACTGCTCCCTATCCCTCACTGCACCCCATCCCTTACTGCTTCTTATCCCTCACTGCTCCCTCACTGCTCCCTACCCTAGGCATGATATGAAATGACAGGCGAGCCGAGTCGGGCTCAAGTCCAATTGGTTTGACTTTTCCTTGGCTGGAGGGGGAATTTCAGCAGGTTGGTCTGGGTCAGGCCGAATCGGGTTTGGCCCAGCGAACCAGCAAGGTTCGACGTTTTTGGGCTTGCCAAAGGACAAACCCTAAACCCTCAACCGCCTCTAGGCGCCGCCTGACACAAACCTTGCAGGGCTCGGCCCCAGGACCCTCGCGTATTGTTTTGCGAGGGTCCTTCTGTGGGCATGCGATGAAAATCTGAAGCTCATTTATTATCCGCCCCTGTGCACCCCTATCCGCCCCTGTGCACCCGTGCCCTCACTGCCGCCGCTGCCGCCATGCCATGCGATGCTCCGTGTGGAAGAACAACCCGTCAGGCAGCTTCTGAGGTGCCTCAATCGTCGCCCCTGTGTACCCCTATCCACCCCTGTGCACCCCTGGCCCTCACTGCATGCAACAGCTCCTTTTGGAAGAACAACCTGTCAGGCAATATTCCCGAGTCCATAGGCAGCCTCACCAAGCTCAGCAGCCTGTCAGTCTCTCACCGCGGGCTGCTGCTGCCCTTGCACCTGATGCTGCTTTGGAGGCGATGCGCCTATCCTTGCATCCGTTGCTGCTTTTGGGGCGCCGCGCCTACTCTTGCAGCACATGCTGGTGCATTCCAAGAGCTGATCTGCTGAGCCAGCCTTTTGAGGCGTCTCAAAAGTCATATGTTGGTGCATTCCAAGAGCTGATCTGCTGAGCCAGCCTTCTAGAAGAACTAGTTCGGCTTGGTTATTTGCTCATGCCTGGTCTGAAAAACAGCCTGCCAGTATTTCCATCGCCACCCTCTCACTGCAGTGCGGTCTACCTCCCTTACAGCTGATGCAGGGAGGGGAGAGGGGCAGCGCTACACCTCAAGAGAGAATATGTTATTTTGTTTAGCTGCCTCAGAATTTGTTTCTCTTCTCACTGTAGTACATGACTAGAGGGGCAACACCACGTGCTTGCTCCGAAAACCTCCCCACCTCTGCTCGTGCCCCCGGTTTACGAGAGTATCTGCTGTGAAGGGTGCCACCTCCCCTCCCCTCCACCCATGTAGAAAGAAACAGCCGATGATCGATGATGTGACTGACAAGGCTGATGAGTTGAGTGTGTGGCAGGGACCTGTCAGACAACCAGCTTGAGGGGACCATCCCCGAGGGCATTGGCAACATGAAGGATATTCGGAAACTGTGAGATCGCTCAATGATTCCACCAATCCGGATTCCCGCCTCCTGTTTTCTTCATCCAACCATCATGGTGGGAATCTATGTGACCCTCAGTGTTACTCTCATTACATTCCCTCCCTCTCTCGTACCTCCACACACCACAACATGCCATGCCAACACTGTGTGCTCTGCAACGTCATGCCAACATTCTGTGCCCTGCACTCCACGCCATGCAGCTCTGTAGATTGTACATTCTTATCACTGGAGAAACGCCACCACTGTGTGCGCTGTCACTGTGTGCGCTGTCACTGTGTGCGCTGTTTGTCTCTGTGCTGCATGACCGCGCAGGGATCTCTCCGGCAACCACTTGACCGGCACTCTCCCCACCACCCTCTCGCGCCTCTCTGGCCTGTTTCAGCTGTGAGTCACAATTCACGAGGCAGCAGGGGCACATGGGTGCATGGGGACATGGAAGCGTGGATGCATGGGACCATGGATGTATGGGTGGATGCATAGGAACATGGATACTTGGGTTTATGGGGAAATGGATACATGGGTGTGTATGCATGGGGACATGGGTGCATGTGGGGATGGGCACATGAGTGCATGGGTGCATGGGAAGATGCGTGTGTGGGTGCATGGAGCATGAAGACCTGGGGCATGGATGGCATCTTCGTTACCAAACTGTTCTACTTGAGGCAACCACTTTCCCTGGACAATGTTGACTCTCGGAGGTGGAGACTTGTCATCTGTGGTGTACCAAGTATGTCCTAGTATGTACTTTCTCACCTCTAGTCTTAGAGGTTGTAGGTTCAACTCTCGGCATCTGCGCTTTCCCCTCTCATATTATGCTCACCATGACATGTCCATACTTCACCACACTTACCCGCAATGAAGTGTGGTCACATTATGGCATTGCCACCTGTCCACTTATCCCATCCTCCCCTTGCTGGCCCCTATAGTCTTCTCTGCCATATACTGCCATGTGGGCTGTTGTTTTAGCCTAGCCCACATACGTAAGATGATGCCTCACTTCCTTGCTTCGCAAGGTAGGCAAGCCGTTCCCTCAGCTTTGAGGTGCTGTGGCTAGCCGCAAGATTTCAGCCATACATATTTGGCTTCCCACTTCAATATAACTCATTCTTGGACAAAGTCATTTGCTCTTGTCTTCAAGGCTAAGGACTATTTTTCTTCTTCGTATTGTACCCTAAGGTTCACCGATCCATTTTTACATGCTATCAGAGCTACTATTCTAGCTTAGTGAACGTTGCACACTTGATGGCTTAAGTTGAGTCGCCTCTCGGCCGGCACACCCTTCCTATCAATCTCATTCCACTATGGACGAAGAACATTCGCTGCATCTTCAATGTCCCTGGGCTGATTTCCCTACTTGGATATCCCAAGGTTGCTACGCGCCCTTCTATTTCCTTTTCCACAACCAGCGGTGGAGAGACTCTTAAGTAGGATAGGAAGTACAAGTACAAACGTTTAGCTTAAAATCTAACATATGATTAGCACATGAATGGACACATTGATTCGCACATCAAGTGGCAGATCGTTGGTCGCTGGGTGATGAGGCACCCAGATGCTCATCAGCTCACCTGATGGTTCTCTCTGCTCTTCTACAGGCTCCCCTTGAGGCGCCCCAAAAGATGCTTCACTCTGCTCTTCCAGAGGTTTCTCTTGAAGCGCCTCAAGTGCGTACTCTGCTCTGCTCTTCCACAGGTTCCTCAGCCGCAACAACCTGAATGGCTCATTTCCTCTCTGGATTGCAGACATGTCCAACATTGGGTGGCTGTGAGTGCATTGTTGTAGTAGTAGGGCTTGCTTAAAGACCTTTGTAGAAAAATGATGGTGGTAACTAGTTTCGGCTTTGAGCCTCTTCAGACCACAAAAAGTAGGAAGCAGTGGGTAGAGTGATATTTGCACGGCGTTCATTGTATCACGCCGGTCCATTGCACTGCCACTGCAAACAACCCATGCGATCATTGCAATCTTGCGTGAAACTTACCTGCACTGCACCTATGAGGTTGTGAGTATGATGCTCTGTGCTCCTCCTCTCGTGTGTTGTGCTGTCTACATGTACCATGTGTGTGCTCTTGCGTTTCACCCTCTATAACACACATCCACATGCACTGCTGTCCACACACCACCCACATCCTTCCCAAGCATTTCTGTCTTCCACCCTCCTCTTCCCCCCACCCCTCCTGGAAACGGCCTACGGACTGTCTTTGGGGATATGGGGGCACGGGCCACCAATGGAGCTCATCGTGTTGCCACTGCTGTTTACCGGATTAGGGTTTGTTTGCTGTCGTATTTGCTCCTCCACACCACATCCGCCCATTCGCACATGCCTTTCACCACATTCATGCGGCTCCTTCCATCGTCTCTGATGGTGTGTGGTTGCGCGTCCATTGTATGGCAGATACCTCAGTGACAACAGTTTCTCAGGCCCCCTACCTGCTGCTCTTGGCGGCTCTAAAAGCCTCATATTTCTGTGAGTGACCTGCTTAGATTGCATTCCTGTGCAGGGATACCATCCAAGGGTTTCCAGCTTGTGCGGCAGACATTTTGTTTTCGAATAAAGGTCTAGATTTCCAGTTACCTCTTAGTTTGAAAGGTTGGGTGGATGCGCGAACGAATCCTACCCAAGAGCATGCTACGTAGTCTCGATGTATTGGGTGGACTCAGTCAGCTGTGTGTTCTCAACTCCCTGACACGTTGCGTGCGGTGAACTCACATCATCTCGAGTGTATAACTCACGTTGTGAATTTCATGTTATGGTGTCCAGGTCAGGTTATATTAGGAAGAGTAGGCAAACAGCATGAGAAATTGCTCAAGGTGTCGAAACCTCGGATGGTGTCCTGCGCAGGATGCAGCCTTATACTAAACTGCAACAAGAGCAATAGAATTTGCTGCTACTGGATTCCATAACTTAAAAGCATATCTGCTTAGTTTCTTTGCAATTGAAGTATCTCGGCATGCCAAAAACAACAAAAGAGAGGTTAAAAAAAAAAAAAAAAAAAAAAATGTGGTTTGCTTTTTAACCTGCCAACCCTGGCTCAGCTTGACCCTTGTTCAGGCAGAGTCTGCACCATTATGTCCTCTTGCATTGCACCATTATGCCCTCTTGAACCACCATGCCCTCGTGCACCATCATGCCCTCGTGCACCACCATGCCCTCGTGCACCACCATGCCCTCGTGCACCACCATGCCCTCGTGCACCACCATGCCCTCGTGCACCACCATGTCCTCGTGCACCACCATGCCCTCGTGCACCACCATGCCCTCGTGCACCACCATGCCCTCGTGCACCATCATATCCACTTGCTTTCCCTTTTTCATTGAGGGCATGCATCTCACCTGTGTAGCAAAAGACACATGTGAGCCGCATAAGACACATCATTTAGATCTGCGGCCCCTTTCCTGTGTTCTCATCATGCCTTGGCTCTCCCGTTTGATGCGTTTGATAACCCTCCGCCCTGTTTCACCCCCTCCATCCACCATTCCCTTCAATCCAACAGTGAAATGTCAGATTCTGGCCTCACTTGCCCCCCAAATGCTTCCAGCTGTGTGGTTCGGCAGATCAACTACAGCGCCTTCTGCCAAGACTGCAAGGCATTCTGTGCCACGTGCACAAGTGATCAATGTGAGCTTTCCGGTTGGGACGTTGCAGTTTTTGAGAATTCTCAGAATCTGCTGTAGCTGTACTGCACGAGCCTCTGTGATACATGTACAGGTGACTTTTAAGGCGCCTCAATATATACCTGTGCCTCGAGTTTAGAAGAGGTGCAGGTGAGATGCTTGGGGCACGGAGGTGACTGTTGAGTCGAACCAACGGGTGCTTCTCCTATGGCTATGAAAGCTTCTGTGCCACGTGTGCAAGTCAAAGCAAAGGTGGGCTGCTTGGATTGTTGTGAAGTACAACAAATCATCGCAGTCAATGCGTTACATTCCATGATCATGGGGTAGCTGATTATCAGCACACTTTCCAGTCAAAAGTACTAGCCTTTGCTAATCAAGGATAAGTATTTTTAGTCAACGCAAAGTCGTGCCAGTTAATACTAAGTCTCACTAATTAATGCTAAGTCATGCCAGCCAATGCCAACCCCACTAAGTAATGCTAAGTCATGCCAGCCAATAAAGCTAAGTCATGCCAGTCAATGCTAAGTTGTGCCAGTCAAAGCCAACTTGTGCTGGGCAACGCCAAGTTGTGCCTCCAGCTGCATGCGTGCAGAGCAGGGTCACTATTTTCACCACTTGTGTTTTGGTGCTTCAATACTTCAAATTCTGGTGCTTCGATACTTATGGTTCTGGTGCTTCAATGCTTGTGAGTCTGGTGTGCCGGTGCATGTGTCCCTCCAAAGCAGCCCCAACCCCATCACCACTCGTGGCCTCCCCTCCACCGTCCCCATCACACAATCAACCCCTCAACGCATCCTCCTCCTCCTCCTCACCCTCCTCCACCTCACTCGCTCCCTCCTCCCAATCCGGCCTGTCAGTGGGGGCTGTCATTGGCGTTGTGACAGCAGCCGTTCTGCTCTTGCTTCTCCTGCTCGCCTTAGCTTGGTGGCTTGCCGTCCACTACAAGATTTCCACAAGAGGTAGGCATGTTACGTGTGTGAGAACCACCTCAATTCTGTCAATTTCAGCAACGAGCAGCATATCAACTCCATAACTTCGTTTTACGTAACTCGCAAAGCCGCTGTGTTCTGCCTGTGTTACTTCTGACAAAGCGGAAAAAAAAAAAAACAAAACAAAAACAAAAACCACATACCATACATATTTTCTACAGACTCCCCCAGCCCGCAACTAGGGAACGCAACGACACCGTGCCGGCGGTACTCCCTGGCCGTGGTGGCTCGTGCAACCAACAGCTGGTCCAAGGAGTGCCTGCTTGGGTCGGGGTCGTATGGAGACGTGTACCGCGGGGTGTGCCCTGAAGATGGCACCACGCTGTGGGCCGTGAAGCGCGCCAAAGTCATCACCCCCGACTTCCACAGAGAGGTGCGTCAAGCCAACACAGCTGGCTTTCACAGTGAGGTGGGCAAACACCATTGAGAATTCTCAAATGTCTAGATGGGCCAAGATCCTCACCACCAACTTCCACTGAGATGTGGGACAATGCCGGTGCGAGTGTTGTGGGGTGCTCGAAGGTGGACTCCTCTGGAGGCGTGTACCACATGGCTTATATCCCGACTTGCTGCATGCCATGGCAAACTGGGGAGGGAACGTTGTTGCAACTTCTCAACCAATTTTGATTGTGAGACTGGATTTTTTTTTTTTGTAGATCTGCTTTTTCGTTTGGTCTATTTGCTATCGATTAGTCTCGTATGTACATGTTCTATGAGTACCACACTGCTGAAATTATAGTGAAACGAGTTTGTTCAATGTCAACGTACAAGAAACCAAGATGCTCGTACATTGCACAAACATCCGCCTATTAGTTCTGCATTGTGTCAGCACACCCATCCTTCCCTGCCTCTCTTCTCTTGGTCCATCACAGGTGGCGCAGATGGCAACGAAGCACCATCCCAATCTGGTGCGGCTGCTGGGGTATGCAGTGGGAGGCCATGTGAACACGCGGGTGGAGAACATTCTCGTCTACGAGTTCATCGCCAATGGCGACCTGCGCACCTGGATCGCCCCAGGTACTATCTGGTCCATTTCGTTTTGAGACGTCTAAAAAATGGCGACCTGCGCACGTGGATTGGCCCAGGTACTATCCGGTCGTTTTTTGTATGTTTTTTCGACCATGCAGTTGTGTGGATAAGTAAATGCAGAAAAATAAAGACAGCCTCGAAGTAGGTGTGACGAGGCAGGGAGGTCCATCGCGACTCAAGAGCTGGGTCCGGCCCTTGCACATACCTGATCTGCAATAGCCAGCAGATGAAAAACTCCAATGCATGCCTTTGATGCCATCGGCAAGTTTACGACTCCAATGCTGCTTTTCTCCAATGCTGCTTTTCTTTTATGCAGTTTTTCTCTAATGTTGTTTTCCTCCAATGCGGCCTTGCCTCGGCTCTACCATTCTCCAGATGCGCCCACGAGCTTGACTCTGCAGCAGCGGGTGGGCATCCTACTAGGGGTGGCGCGTGGGTTGGAGTATCTGCACAGCTTTGGCCTCGTGCATCTGGACATCAAGCCAGCCAACATCCTCATTGACGCCCACATGCAGGTGCGGTGCGGTGCGGTGATGACGCTGGGTGATTACATGCTGGCATGCTTTACATGCGGGTGCAGTGATAAGGCGTTCATGCCTCTTCCATTCGCTTTGGGATTAGACAATGCGGCTTTTTGCGAGGAAATAGCACGGGCCAGTATCGAAGGGAGTGCAGGTGCGGTGGTAAGGTGTTACAACCATCTTTGAATCATGTCAATCCACACTCCCAATCAGATACACCCATCCTCCTGTCTGAATCAGATGAGACCATGTTGCCCCAATCCTCCTCCGGCTCTCCTCTTGCCTGCTGTGCCCGACGTTCCTCAGGCGAAGGTGGCAGACTTTGGGCTTGTGCACGTGGGGGAGGGCACAGCAGCGGGCACAACAACGGGCTTCACGCGAGTGCTGGGAACGGTGGGCTACGTGGACCCTGCATACTCGCTCACGCACAACGCCACCACCACTGCTGACGTTTATAGGTGTGCTGCAGATTCGAATGCCAGCTTTTAAGCCAAGTTGGATTCGTAATCTAAGGAAAGTGACGCCACCACCGTCACTGGTGTGCAAATACACAATGCACCCGTGATGTGCAAACAGGGTAACGTGTGTGATATCACATCCTCCGTTCCGATCATCGGTAGGGATGAGCAAGGGGCGAACACGAACATGTTCGTGTTCGCCCCTACACGAACACATCCGTTTGCCGAACCGAACACTGTTCGGTTCGGCGAACACTTTAAGCAAAAACAGGTGTTCGCCGTTCGCCTGTGAAGGCGTGTTCGGGCGAACCTCGAACACGTTCGTGTTTGTCGCGGGGCAAATTGCAGCAGCGGCCCGAACACGAACGTGTTCGGGCGAACCTCGAACACTGTTTGGCGAACACTTTAAGCAACGAACCGAACAGGTGTTCGCCTTTGTGCTCATGTCTAACCATCGGCGTGGAACCACATCCCCTAATGAGATACAAAGGAGTTGAGGCTTTATGCGCGTTGCTGAATGCACGATCAATGAACGAATGAGATACAAAGGAGTTGAGGCTTTATGCGCGTTCCAACGTCCCTAAAAAACTAGTTTTTTTGTTTTTTCATCTATTGCCATCTGCCCCCACTTGCATTCTTTCCTCTCATTGTCAGATGGCGTTTGGCAATGCTTCTTTCCCATGGCTTTTCGAGCGTATAGCATGACCGGATCATTGCCTCCCTGCTCCGTTTCGTGTTTCACATGTGGGTGTGCTTCGTGGTGCAGCTTTGGCATCATGCTGGTAACTCTTTCTGGCAGAGGAGCCACCATCAATGCAACAAGCCTTTGTGACCATGGCCACCAAGAGCTCATCGCCGGGGAGCTAAACCCGAAACCCTAAACCCGAAACCCGAAAACATAAATCCTTGTTTGTCCTTGGATGTGTGTTGCGGTGCAGCTTTGGAGTTCTCATGCTGGTGATGCTGTCAGGCAGAGGAGCCACCATCAGTGCGATGAGCCCATTCAATGATTCGTGCGCTTGTGCCAGCCACGAGCCAATCTCCATCTCTAAATGGGTGCGGTTGCTATTCCCGCTTCTGCCCGTCAATGCCTGCACTGTTCTTTCCTTCGTGCTCTAACCACAACTGTTTAGGTATGTACTCATCCGGGTTCCCTTCACCTATTGTGCCCATGGCATGTGTTTCCTGCCCCTGGCATGTGTTTCCCGCCCCTGTCGTGTGTTTCCCGCCCGTATCATGCATTCTCCCACTCCTGTCATGTCTGTCCTGCCCCATATCACAGGCTACTGGTCTCATGGCAGAGGGGAAGACATCACCCCTGAGGGATCCGCGCATGGAAGCACATGAGGACATCACCATTCGCCTTGCCCACCTCGCTGTCACCTGCACTGCCATGCCCACCGCCTCGCGCCCCTCCATGTCCCGAGTGGCCCAATACCTGGAGATTATACGAGAGGAGGCGGGAGGGGGGGATGCGAGAGTGAGTGCTGCAGCGAGGGTTGACGAGAAGCTGTCGAGCCAGCGGTTACGGAGGAGCATGGAGGAGGATCTAGCATTGCTGAATGAGCAAGTCATGCATGAGGGTGAAGGAACGGCTGTCTCTGTACAGACATGATGGCCGGCGGAACAGCTTGGAAGCAGGGACGTCGACATCAGACCAAATTGGTCTGTTAATCTGATTTCAAAGACAGGCATTTGCTTTTCATCTGAACTGTAAGATTTGCAATTTTTATTCATCTGAATTTGCAGACTTGCTGATATGTTTCGTCTGAATTGGCAGACATCGCGTTTTTTTTCGTCTGATACCGACAACCTGGCCCACTAGCCCACAGACCCACGCGTCCACTAGCCCATTAGCCCACTGGCCCACTCGGCTACTGACTGTGGATTGCAGTTACATTCACATCGCATTTATGATACACCCTGCCAGCACATATTTGTTGCCACTGCCATCCGTCCCTGGCAACTTCTGACTTGCCCGACATTCACCGCTGGCATAGAAGATGCCAAACGGCTGGGCTGCGGGATGCTGCCAGTGCATACGAGCTGGCAGCTTTCCTTCCATCCATCCCTCCGCGTGACGTGGATGGCACCTTCGTGCTGCCACAGTCGACATCAGAGGGTGCGCGTCGCCATGGGGACTTCACGTTATTGAGGTGGTTCTTCCATCTCCACTCCAGCCAGCCGAGTTCTGCAGTTCACTCTAGTCGAAACCAGCAGACACAATAGCCTAGGAGCAACGACTTCGTCATGCCTGGAAGCCGTCCTCCCCTGCACCCTCCCCGCGCCCGTCTTGTGTTGCCGCTAGCTCTCCCGTTCGCTCGCCCACGGTTATTTTGTCACCACGCACAACTGATGCTTCTAAACCTCCTCGCCTGCCATTCCTTCCTACTCGTTTCCCAGGTTCTAAGAAGTACAAGCAACCGAAACTCCCATTCAGAAGGCAGTCGACCACCGCTTCTCCAACACCTTACGTTGTTAACAACGACACCACCCGTGCAACCCCTCCCTCGGATGATGGGCCGTTCTTGCTGACGGTTGAAGAACTCCAGTTGAAGGCCAAGGAGCATTGGCCACGACATTTTCCGTGGCTCGTCATTTCGGAGACAAGCGAGGGACGACCGTGTATGAAGTGTACGGTGTGCATCGCTTACGGCGATCCTGACTACCAGTATGGGAGGAACGGTGAAGGCCGGATTGACATACAGAAGCAGACGATGCGGAAACATCATCACAGCATCAAGCACGAAGCGGCGGTGGAGAGGAAGGAGCTACGGGAAGGGAACAAAACGAGGCAGCCGTCGATTGCAGAGTTTGCAAACGGCGACGCTGAGGCTAGTCGCCTCATGAAGTTGCTGTTAATCGTTCATCTGTAAATCTGACGCTCCCATTGCCCTGTTCATGTCATTGGTGCAATTCATGGGAGAGATGGGGACTCCGGATCTCCCATTGAAGGACCACGGGACGTACATCAGCAAGTAAGTGAATCGTACACATGTCAGCTGCACTTAAACTTACATGGATGAACTAATTCTCTCGTATTGTCTTTTGAGTGTGCAGGTACGGCTTCAAGCAGCTCATGGAGACAATGGCGTCTTTCTTGAAGGCCTCACAACTGCGACACATCCGAGAGAGTCCCTACCTTGGTGTTCAACTCGACGAGAGCACAGACAGGCGGCGTGAGAAACATATGATCGTATACATCACCTTCTTACGGCAATGGAGCGTCGTGACTGAGTTCTACGCCAATCTCTCTGTTGACAAGTGCGACGCGGCTTCACTGTTGGCCGTCTTGTTGACTCACCTGGAAAGCAATGGGGTGGAGCTTGCGAAGATATCAGGCATATCCACAGATGGAGCGAGCGTAATGACCGGCGGTAAATCTGGAGTGGTGGCGCGGTTGCGTACGCGTGTTCCGCACTTGGTGTCCTGTCATTGTAATGCGCACAGGTAGGCCTCTCGGTTTAAATCCTTACATTCCCTATTGTTTTTATTTATCAACATGTGCTAATTGCTATGTTTTGTTCACTGCAGGGAGGCTCTTGCCGCGAAGGATGCTGCCGCTTCTTTCCCGGATCTCGGGATTATCGATAAGGTTGTCCGCAAAGTCTCTGATCTCCTCGGCCGATCTAGTCCTAAGCACTCTCGTTTCATGCAGCTGCAAGAGGTGGTGCAGCTGCAAGAGGAGGTGGTGCTGCATGTAGATCTCGTCGTCGATGGTGCCGTGAAGAAATGCATTCTTCACATCAAGCTGCAGCAAATCCAGGTCCATAGCTGCTGCGATTGAGAGGAGCACGCGAACGGTGGTGTGGCTGCCAACAGGAGCGTAGGTGTCGTCGTAGTCGACGCTGAAGCGCTGGCAAAATCCCTTTGCCACGAGCCTGGCCTTGTACTCCTCAACGGTACCGTCAGGTTGCAGCTTCTTATTCAGCAGCCACTTGACGCCAACGGTTTTGCGACCTTCGGGTAGGTCGGCCAACGACCAAGTGCCTTGCTCGTCAAGGCTCTCCATCTCCTCCCTCATAGCAGCTCACCATTCCTTGCCTTCAGGTCCGGTCAACGCAGCTGCCAGGTCGAGGATGACACCTCCTCAAGCGCCTTCCTCCTCCTCATCCTCGTCCGGGTACTCCACTTCGTCATCGCTGTCCGTGTCGCAATCGTCCTCAGCAAGGTACGCCACGTCGTACGGGTTGTCCTCATCGTCCGCATCCAGGGCCGTCATGGCTGATGGCTGAAATCGTACGGGTGACACCCCCTTGTTGGGCCTGCTGGAGCGACGTGGGGGTGGTGGAATGGGCTGGATGGGGGGAATTGCAGGTGAAGGCTCATGCTCATGGGCCATTGGTGACTGCTCATCCACTGCTACTTCTCCTTCTCCCTCCTCGTGATCAGCCATGCTGGTGCCAACCTCCAGAGGACCATCCTCTGGTCCCACAGGCGCCGAATCAGCAACGGAGGGTGGATCGAGAGGAGGAGGTGCAGTAGGTGCCTTGCTGCCCAAAGGGCCCACTGAGCGATCAAGGGGTTGCCCGCCCCCTTGCACGGACGGTACCGGGACCACAATGACGGTACGTGGTGGCGGCGGATTCTGCTCGGGGTCGTGGGGCTCAGGAAAGACAGATGGGACTGAAGCAAAGGATGGAGTGGGCTGGTCGTTCCCGTCACCCACGCGTGCACGCCACTTCTGCCACCGTTCAAGTGACATGTCCTCATAAAAACGTGCATCCCGGGTGATGACCATGCGCTTTGACTCAACATTCACCACACGCCATCCCTTGCTTTCCATGCTCGTGCCCAAGTGCATGCCCCAACGAGTCTTGCTTGCAAGCTTTCCCTCACGCTCATGCTCAGGAATGAGGTATTGCACCATGCACCCAAACACACGGACCATGGACACATCGGCCTTGAATTTGAACACCACCAAATGAGGGGTCACACCATGGGGCAGGGTGGACTGGTGCACACGGTTTACCACCCACAAGAACTGCTGAAACGCGAAGTGCCACCAGTGTGCTTTCACCCCCATGTGCCCCAACGTCACACGCATGCTCAGTTACCGTACGGTTCCGGCGTTCAGCCACACCGTTCTGTTGGGGGGTCGAGGGCCAGGAAAGTTGACGCAAGATTCGTCGTTGCTTCAGCAGCAACGGAAACTCATTCGACATAAACTCCCCTCCCCGCTCCGACCGCAACACCTTCAGCGTCATCCCGGTTTGGCGTTCAGCTTCGGAAGCCATTCCTTGAAGGCAGCAAGCGCGTCGCTCTTCGGCTTCAACGTCTTCCCCCAGGTGTAACGTGAGGCGTGGTCCACGAACATAATGTAGTACCTGCTTCCATCCATGGCTGGGGTCTGAAATGGACCGCACACGTCAGTATGGACCAGCCCAAGAACCTGCTCCTCGCGCTCGTCGTGCAGCGGAAATGATTCGCGAGTGAGTTTGGCTTCATGGCAAGAGGTGCACGGCATATCCTCACCTCCTTTCTCCAGGTCCATGCCTAACATGCCACCGCTCGTGGCTGTCCGCTTCACCGCATCGAAGTGGACGTGTCCAAGGCGAGCGTGCCACAGGTTGGGCGTTGCCTTGGAGCCCACCGCATACGTCTTAAGGCTGGCTGCTCCGTCAGCAACCGCCTTAGTCATGCCATTGCATGCCACTGCAGCCACCGTGCCGTTGCATGCCGCTCCAGCCGCCGTGCCGTTGCATGCCGCTGCAGCCGTCGTACCGGTGCAAGCCGCTGCAGCCACTGTGCCGTTGCATGCCGCTGCTGCCATTGTGCCGTTGCTTGCTGGCCACGGTTTCAGGTCAAGGCAGAGAAGACGATGGCGGTAGCGTGCCGTTGCAGCCACTTGTCCTCCCGATGCGATGATGCGGGTGACACCTTATTCGGTTTGCAGATGTGCTCCTTTATCCGTGAGCTGCCCAGGGGAGACCAAGTTGGCCTTCATTCCTGGCACAAAGAGGACATCGTGCAGGGTCACACACAAGCCGTTAGTGCCCTCCAGCAAAACCTCACCAACACCGGCGACTTCCTGCATAGAACCGTCAAACCCTTTGACGGATTTCGTTGCAGATGGGTCACGGATCACCGTGAACCACTCCTTGTGGCCGGTAATGTGTTGGGAGCATCCCGAGTCAAGGAACCACAAGTCCGTGTCGTCGGCCAGCAACTTTGCAGCCGAACGCGCGACGGTGAGCGCCACGCCCTTTCCATCTCCTTCAGCTACGTTTGCGGCTGCCGCGGGCGTTGCATCCTTCTTCTTGTTGGGGCACTTGGCAGCCATGTGCCCCTCCTCATTGCACTTGTAGCAGCGCCCTTTGAAGGGGGCTCGCTTCTTCTCCCGCTTGCCATCCTTGTTCTTGTCCATCTGCTCCTCCTTTCCATTCCTTCCCGTTGACCCCCGTTGTAGCCACGATCGTGTTGACAGCGCCATAGAAAGCCGATGCAACACCGGTGATCTGCTTGTAGCTCTGTTCGATGGAGAGAGTCTGCTCCTCCATCAAGACCTCGCTGCACACACGTTCCACCGTCATGTCAGGGCTGGAAATATCGAGCTTGCGGCGAAGAAATCCGTACTCCGGTGGCAGGCCCTTCAGCACGTGAGCAGCAAACGTGGCCATGTGGACCTCCCGTCCAATGGTCAGCTGCTCCGCTCGGATGGTGCAGGCCCTATTGCAGTAGGATTCTGCCGTCTCATCATCTCCCTTCCTGGGTTGGGCTAACTGGGTCTGAAGTAGGGAAGCGTGGAGGGCATAACGAGCTTGATAAGTAGACAAGATATATGCCCATGCTAGCTGCCCGGCTTTCTCTTGCTGAGAGAAACCAGAGATAGACATTCGGATGGGTGGAGAAACACATCGGTTCAGCACCACGAATGCAAGAATTTGGCCCTTTGCGTACTCCCTTTGTTGCAAAGGGTTGTTCGGGGCCGGGCTTGGTGCTGTCCCGTTGCAAAACTGCCACAAATCAGCACACTGGAGCTGAGTCGGATGGTGCTGACCCACGCGGTAAGGTCGTGCCTTCCCTCCAGCAGCGGCGTCACGGAGATATGTTCTACTCCAAACTTGAATTGGCCGTAGCTCGCCCCGATCATTCCCGTGTCAATGGTCGGTGCAACAGCTCCTCCACCAACGCCCACGGTAGTTGGAGCCTCGTGCACAGCTCCTCCTTCACTGGTTCCTCCTTGCTCGCCGCTCGCAGGTGCTTGCTCCGCCGCGCGCTCCCGAACCATGCGTAGTAGACGACCATCCACAATGAGGTCGACCTCCTCATCACACAAGTTAGGGTGGTGCTCACGAGCGAACGCCTCCAGCTCCTGACGGGCATTCAGGCCCTCGGCGCTCGTTAACCACTCCATCCGCGGTCAAAACGAGCGTAGGCCACAACAACGTGGGAACGAAGTGATGGGAAGATGGAATCAAGCCGCTAGTTGGATCGACGCAGATAACGCAGATCTGATACCATGTAGAATTCCACTACTATAGCAGTTTGATAGAGCTTGAAAGCACGATTCCAACGCACCAAAGATTGCAGGAAACGGTCCGCTATAGCCAGAGATACACACAAACATAGCAGTGATAATGACTTGGTTAATTTCGGGTTTGTGCTCTTTGGTTTTATACTAGGACGCAATACACAAACAAAGCACACAAGAAAGTGTCGACTCGGGTCGCACGTTGAATTCCGTCGACGCGAAATTCGGAGCCTTGAATTTCGCCGAGCGAATTCCATTGACTGGAATTCCGTAGACGAGAAATTCCACGACCAGAATTCCGTCGACCACCGATTGCAACTCTTGTGCGAATTCCGTTGACTTCGACACTTCGCTGCCGAGTTTCAAACCGAACGCGACCCGAGATCGATTTCGCCAAAGTGTCTCCAATCTATCCCCAAACTGTCCCCAATTTGTCCTGACAATACACTTTCAGGACACTTGAATCGAAAGGTCTCCAGTTCGAAACTCGCGTGCACCTTATCCAGCGCCTTAGCAGAAACTGTCCTGAATCTGTCCTGAGACACTTTCAGGACAGATTTGAAGGTCACGAGTTCGAATCCCAGCGCCGACATTTTGTTGCTCATGGCAGTATTTCCTTCTAACAGGTGGTTCAGCCCGTTATGCAGCACACGCTGAACACCCTAAGTGGCCGATACATCGACTACAAGGATGCGTTCGGCGACAACAGTGGCAGGTTAGCAGTGTTCCTGCAAAAACATCAGAGTCGCCAGCAGCGCTCTGTGAAAGTGGAGGGTGTTGATTCAGACGGCACGCCCACCACCCACACATACGAGCCGCACGAGAAGCACCTGAAGGGGCAGACCAGCGGGTCGGACCTGCAAGCATGCATAAACCTCGCCAGCGAGTTTGGCAAGGAGGTTGTCTTCAACCTCACTGATCGTATGAAGGATCTGTCGGCGCTGAGAGGAGTTCCACTCTTCCGTCAGAGTGCTTACCCTAGCACGCGGGCGAGGCGTGAGGTGAGGTTACCTCAGTGGCTGCAGGGAGTCAGGGATCTCTTCAAGAAAGAGCCGGGTGATCCTGACACACTTCCGGGTGAGTAACCAACGTTCGAGCCCGGACATTTTATACATCCTCTCCCCCTTACCTTTGTATGATGCAAACCCTCCACAGTATCTTTGTACGGCGTACTCTCTCTCTCCCCCATACCTTTCTATGGCATACTTTCTCCCCCTTACCTCTCGACGTGCGTTCCCTTTGCATCCCGATCAACAGGCATCCACTGGGGCAAGGCTAAGAAGGAGCTCTGGAGTTTCACCAGCATTCTCGCGACCCACCACGAAGACCTAAGCTTCCACGGCAGTCTGAAGCACATGCTTTCAAGTGACGATTGGTCCACAACCTACCCGATCCTTGTTAGGTTGTGGAGTGCAGTGGCTGTCCTCCCGCTCAGCACAGTGGAGTGCGAGAGGGGGTTCAGCCGGCAGAATGTGATCAAGAGCTGGATGCGCAGCAACCTCGAGTTGATGACCATGTCGCTGCTGGATTATGAGATGGAGCCGCATGCGATAATGTCGGTGTGGCACGGGAGCAAGAAGCGCCGGCCAGCGAAGGAGGTCGTGATGGCGCAAGCAGGGCGAGCGGTGAAGCGGGCAAAGCGGGCAACATCATCGGCTCAAGCATCAGTAGCGGCAGCATCTAAAGCAGCAGCCGCCGCAGCAGCAAGAGCCGCGCGTGACGCAGAGGCGGAAGCGGCAAGGGAGTGAGAAGAAGTAGAGGCCGAAGAGGCCCGCATCCCCGTGTGGCAGAGGAAGAGCAAGGGCCGAGTTGTGGAAGTGTCAAGGATGAGGATGAGGATGATTGTTCTGTTAGTTCTAGTGGACATGATTCTGATAGTGATAACGAGTAACTTGCTATGATAATTTATGTTATGTTGCCATTCAGACTGGGAATTATGTTTCGCCTGAAAAAACAGACTAGGTAACTAAACTTCGTCTGTACTGACAGACTGCGCTCTAAAATCCGTCTCATGATCAGATAAAAGCTAAAAAGCCAGTGTGATTGTCAGACGGGGTTTTTGACTAGCAACGTCCCTGCTTGGAAGCTTGTGAAGAAACAGTTTGATGCCATGATTTGTTTTCTATCAAGTGTGTACAGTGTGTGTCTCCAAATGGTGCAAGGCAAGCATTTGGTTCTCATGCCATTCTGTACCACAAGCGTGCAGCCCCAGCCACTCAACCCATTCTATTCTGTCTGTTTAACGATGATTCGTTTTCAAAAGCAAGACTCCATTCCCAGACTTGGAGAATGGTGCATATGGCCCACCCATTTCACTGGAAACAGGAATGGGCGGGACGCGGGGGGAGACGAAAACGTTGGTAGCTGGTGATCTTGAGTTGACAACATAAATAGTTACGCGGAGGGATTAGTAGGCCGAGGAAGATGTTATTATTGAAACGTACTAAGACGGCTACTAACGGCCTAATTTGATGCTGAAAACTCTCCTCGGGGTCACCTTCGAGGGTCCGTGGGTGCCGGACCGAAGGTCAGCTCCTATCCAAGGGTCTGAGTTGTGTAGAGAGAGATTCGCAACAGCAGCAAGATTGCAGTAGCTGGTGTCTCTTCATTGGCGTAGTCGTCTCTCTTAGATCTGGCAGCGGAGAAAACTTTTCTACTCCAGTGATTTGAAACAAGCAAGAGCTAATAATTTTGTACTAAGCCTACTCTATGCTAGTTTTCCTATCTTGTTTCCTGTTCCAATTCTCGTAGCGCAAACACATATCGAGTTCCCCTCCAATTTATTTCCTTACCTGACGTGCTCTCGATGCGTCGCAAAATTAATTTAAATGTCGCGCGCGAAAAAATTGGACGGTGCCGATTTGAACATTACACTTCGCGCCATTTGCGAACAAATGCGATGAAGTCTGTTCGAATTTTGCGCGAGAGAAAATGACGGTGGCGATCGGCAACTCGATCAGAAGAACTTTTGATCACTCGTAAATGACGAAGACTCGCTGCGCGAGTGCTCGCGAATTCTTTCAGTCGACCAACTGGTGCTCGCCACGTGCCTAAAACACTTGATCCGTGAACAACAACACTCGCCTCCTGATCACCTCAACAATTTTAAAAAACTGAGGCATTTATCTCCCAGGTAACCTTCATTGAGGACCCTCGCATCCGAAGTAAGCCACGTGTCGAAATCGTAACAAACGTATCTTGCCCTCGCCTCCATCGTAAACATCATGCCTACGTCGTCAGAATTATTGCCTAGATGGTAATGAACAGTGCATCCGGATGGCCTGACTGGTAACCGGGCATTTCAACCGAACTGTACGCCATACAAGTAGCGATTGACCCAGCGGAACGGAAACTGAGTGTCACTTGTACAGTCAACAGAATGCGCATTTCAGTTTATTGTAGCAACTTGTACGGGCAGTCAGTTTCCATTCTGCTGGGTCAAACGCTACTTGTACGGCGTACAGTTCGGTTGAAATGCTCTGTTACCAGTCAGGTATTCCGGATGCACTGTTCATTACCATCTAGGCAATAATTCTGACGACGTAGGCATGATGGTTACGATGGAGGCGAGCGGAAGATACGTTTGTTACGATTTCGACACGGTTTACTTCGGTTGCGAGGGTCCTCAATAAGTGTTACCCCAAAGATAAATGCCCAAAAGAATGTCTGCAAAATTGCCACCGAAATCGTCAGGCGAGCAAGAGCAAATCACAGCCCTACCTTGTGAATAGTACAAGTGATGCTCGTTTGAGTAGACAACTATAGCCTTGTGAAGGGGGCTTTTAAGTGAGTCTGTGCATTTTGCAGGCTTCGTCAACGTCGCAGTTAGCAAAATAATGCTTATAAATTTCTCAAATGTTACACGTTGATAGTTGACGTCGGTCTCTTCGTCAATTGGTTCATCAAAATTGCATTGACAGTAGACGTTGGTCAGTATTTATTACGACTAGTTCATCATC